AACGCCCAAATGTTATAAACGTGCGCGCAAAAAATAAAACAAAATTGACTTCTGGTATAAACAACAACAAAATCTATCGAAAGATTTCTTGTTTGACACAAAAATGGCAATAAAGCAAACAACTTTTTAGAGTGGGGGAGGGAAGCGGGTGAACTCTTAGGAGCGCGCAACCGACAGTAACACTTCGAAGCAAAATCATCCGCCTAAAGTAGAGCTAACCTAAATGGGATAATCAGGACTTACTCGTTCGCCGCGATCGGTGATGTGACTGCACTTTGATCCTCTATAGTGCCTTTCTACTACTGGTCCGTAAAATCTATGTAGGGCCGTTTGTCAGGCCACATGATTTCATTTCGTGGTCCTATGCGCTGATTGCGACAGTGAAGGTTGTGATGATAACGACAACCAAGACGATGATGATAGATAGCATTGGCGGTAGTGAAAATGGAGATTGAAATTGTCATTTCCTGACTCATTAGCTGTCAGCAGCCAGTGGTGTATCACTCGAGGCTCTAACCCGCGACCTTTTGATTAAAAGTCCAACGTTCTAACTATCGAGCCATGGGTTCGTTGTCTCGCCGGTTTAGGTCAGGAGATATTGACAATCATTGATGAACGTTCACCTGACCACAAACAGAACTCATATGTCCCGCTTTGCCTTGCGGCTCACTCTCGAACCTCGCCAGCAGCCACACAGCAACTAGTAGTTTAGGCAGATAACATTGCCAGCAAAGACCGGGGAAACTTAAATGGCCACTTCTGGCTCATTAGCCGTCATAAGCCAGTCATTCCCAACTCCAAATGGTGCACCACACGATGATGATGATGGTGGTGGTGGTGACGTTAGTAATGGAGCCTGTGATAGTCATTGTTTCGGTTAATATACCTACAGTCAAAAGTCAGAAGTTTGGTGGCATACAAGTCCAGTACCCAAACTCTGCTGTGACGGCAAGTAAAAATTATATTTTAATTGTGTGCGTAAGCTGCAAGGACGAAATACACTTTTAATGGTCACAGACGCCCCGAAACAAAAACAAAACATCATAAAGCTCACTTGTGCGTTCGGTGCCAGGCGACCATCAAAAGAGGGAACCGCACTCTCCGTCAGTGAAACCACATCACTCTGACTGGAGGTGGACCATCGGCGCTGTCGAACAGCCAAAGTGTCAGCGTCAGGGCAGCTGAAGCCTGTTGGAGCGGCGGAGTCCAATGAGTGGTGTTCACTGAGGACGAGGCGAGGTACAACTCGAGGCGGCTCCAAAACAGATGCCGGACCGTCTGTGACGCTGCAGACTGCGTGGGCTCGTCTTCTGTGAGTATACAAGACTGCACGTAA